TTTGGTATTATTGTTATATTAAAGATTTAATGCATCCCACCAATGAAAATATTATATGTCAGCTAAAATATTTTTTTTTTCTATTAAATTTTTCTCTCTCCTATGATATGTAAAGCTCTCGTCATAGGATGTACTGAATCTAAGTACAACAGTAGTATCAAAGATTTATTCTCTTTGTTCGTCAAATTTGAGTGACCTTTTCCTGACTCGCCTCATTTGGGTTTATTAAGTCAACTATAGATTAATGATTGGGATACTAATCCTGGCAATGCCATGCTATGCTTCTACAACATGATGTTATCTTAGCATGATGTATGGCGATAATCTTGGAATTAAATTACAATTATGTTGAATCCAATTAAATTTTGTCTAATCTAATTTTTTTTATTGGACCATGGATAATTAAGCCTTTTTCGTTGGCGTTGTGCAATAACAACTGAACTTGTCATTTTCTTTTTTCGACGCGCCAGGGTAGAAGCTACAAAAATGCACCTTTTTCAGTCAATCCTAGATACAATTGTGCCCCTTGCTAAACGCTATCAGTCAAATTTTGTACGTTTCTTTTTTATGTCAAAATTATTCGTTATTTTAGATAAAATTATGTTATTTTAAGAGAGATAGACATAAAATAATATTTTTTTATTTAAAATTTAAATTAAAAAAAAATTGCTCACTTTCTTTCTTATGATTTTCATTTATTTTGTCCATCTGTCTCCTAAAATAACATAACTTACGTCATTTAAAATGAAAAACATCAAACTTTTCATTTATATTTTGGTTGAGCTGGAGAAAACATCTGTTTTTTGACCCTGGAAAATTCGTGTGAGCTTTCACAATTAAAAATAGCAATATAATTCGTCAAACCACAATATGAAGTGCCCTGTCGATTTCCGTGGAATCAACTTCCACTTCATTGTTTTCCTTATGCATCAATTAGGATAACATTGAAATATGGTTCCTTCTAATCTTTTTCTAAGTTGAAAGAAAGGTTGAGGCTCGAGAAAGAAGCGTTAGTGGAAGAGATCAAGAGACTCGAGTTTTTGGTCAAAAAGTATGGAGTATGTTGCACGCAGATCATGGTCATTTTTCTCTTAACCTTCAAGGAAGTTGTCTTGATTAATAATTTATAGATGATGACTAGTCTAAACTCATTTTGAAGTTTCCTTGATGCAGCCACTGCACTCTAAACAGATACAAGGATTGTGGTCTAATTTGGAAAACTTAATTATCAGTTTATAAGTACTTATTAATGAGAGAGGATGTTATTAAAATATGAGTGTACTCATTTTTCACACTGCAATGATACTTATAAATAAAAAGCATCTCACAAATTTCATAACCATTCATCACACTTATTTTTTGTCTCTTATCGATGGCTTATTTTCTTTCGTGGTTCTTTGCACAATTTTTTTAAGAAGAATCATTTTCATTTTTCGTATGAGTAGTATGATATCTTTATAAAACAATTAATTTTAATAATCTTTTTAGCACTGAATAAAAAAATATTAAATAAAAAAGTTGATGTTATTGATTAAAAAATTAAATTATCTTGAGAAAATAACAAAATTGAATACTTTTCTCAATTAGTAATTAGGAGGGTTTAGAATTTTTCTTTTCATATTTGAGATATGGAAAAAGAAAAAGGAAAGAGGAAAAGAATAAAGTTTTTATAAAGTATGCTTGCTTGTAAAGTGATTAAGTGAATTTTAGTGGGTTAAAATTACAATGTATTATAAATTAAATTAAAAATGAATGCACCCTTATTGATACATTTTAAGGAAAATTCAATTTCAAGGATTTTCTTTTTAAGAAAAAGGGATATGATAAAGAGAAAATCTTGTATATTTTATACACAAGTTGTTTATGTTAAATGAAAAAAAAATGAAGATTATTATTATATTAAATATTTTACAATATTTTTTTCTATATTATTATTTTTCATTTAAAATGATATTATGTCAATTGTTGATTGGTTCAATTTACAAAATTTGTGTGAAAAAAAGAATACACGAGTCTATGTGGTTCCATGATGTGATACATATCAGTCAAATGAAAATGAATCATCTAATGTTTTAATTAACATGATTATGTCAGGTGGGGGAATCTTAACAATATGAAGGAGAATTAACGGTAATAATTTTGTAATTACCTATTCTCATATTTTTTTCCTCTCTAATTTTATATCACCATTGATCTACCTTTATATAGTTATAATTTTTTAACATAACATGATTATGTTAATTAACATATGGGATGATCTATTCCTTGTTCAAATAAAGAACATGTTTAATGTCACACGAATGTATAGTTTACAAATTTTTTAGGGTGAATTATACAAAACTACCCCATACTTTGATTGTTTTTACAAAATAGCGCCCCTAAACTTCTAATTGCAATAATTTATCCCCTCATACTATAATACGGAAATATTAGTCTCATGTGATAGGAGACAACAAGTCTCTTCTACATACTAAAAAAAATGTGGGGTCCACTTTAAATTTTTACTTTCTATTTTCTTATACAGTGAAATCCATATAAATTTATAAGTGTAACATGAGATATTTTATCTCCTAATATTATATAAGAAAATATAATTCCGCTATAATATTATAACAATTAAGCATATTTCACCAAGAAAATATTACCCTGATTCTTGACGAACCCCACCAACAGCCCCTGTCTGTTGTTGTCGGTGTCTATCATCATATGCTGGCTCTTTGTGTTGCGACTCTCCCTAAATGGATGGATTTTGATGTTGTGTTGATAGGTTTGAATTAGCTTATTTTGAATCATTTTTGTTTACAACTTTAAGTTTAAGGTAATTTAAAAACATATTATCTTTTTACTCTTTGGGCCAGGATATATTTACTATAAAAAAAGTTTATCACTTTTATAAACAATCTAATTATCGTTAATTTCAGTCAATCTAGTGATTATAATTTATAACCGTTGAATTGATGAAAATCAACGATGATTAGATTAACTGTAAATGTGATAAAAAAATTTTGTGGTCAATATATCCTTCCCCTTTTTCTTTTACCAAACATGCACCTGCACCTGGTCTAAAATCTATAACGGGCTAATGAAATTAAGCTGGGAAAACTAATAGTGCTACGAGATGGGTTTTGTCCTTAAATGGTTGGGTAAAAACGAAAAAAGAAGTGTTGGAAGAGAAAGTAGTAATCTAACTCTGTTGGTGAATTGAGGGAATAAGAGTAATTTTGTCTTTAACTGATAAAAAATGCTTAATTGCTATAATGTTATCGTATGACTGTATCAGGAGGTAAATTGTTTCAAAAAAAGTTTAGGGTGTATTTTGAAAAAGCAATCAAGTATAGGGTGGTTTTGTATAATTTACCCAAAATTTTAAGGTTCAGATAGAGGCTAATATAGCATATCTTAATAAAAAAAAAACTTTTAAGGTTTGTGACGTTACTCTGATCCTTAAATAGGATAATCTCAAATTTCTTAAATGTATTAAAAAAATTTTTATGGTAAATTAATCACTCAGAAATCAATATTTTTTTTGGTGGTTCACAAATCAATATTTAGTGTTATATAAGTACAAATGTACAATAGTTTGTTGTACTAAAAAAAAAAGTACAATAGTTTGTATACAAAAAAAAGAGAGTACTATCGTGAAATTATAAAATAATAGGATTATGTTTATCTCATTTTATATGAGATAAATAATTTTTTTACACACACAAAAAAGATGAGTATCACTCTTTTTTTCTCTCTACTCTTACGTATGGGTCTCACTTCTCCTACAATATAAAAAATATATTTCCCAAAATAATATCCAAGTCAACCATATTAATTGATGGGAAATATTACTCTCCTTTCACATGAGGTAACTTATCTCATTTTCTCTCACTTCGATTTTCGCACCTTACTTTTTTTTCTTTTTCTTTTTTCTTACAATAATGGGACCCACTCATTTTCTCTCTACCACATAAGATAACTATCTTATGTGAAAGAAGATTAATAAAACCCTTAATTGATTCATTCCTTGTTTGAAATTTTAACTTTAATGATGCCTAAAGATAGGCGTTTACCAAGCGTTTTCTTCCTTGCATATGTTGGTTTTTTTTTTTTTCTCTGTCATTAATTGCAGGTAATTTTTTTATAGAAATGACCAAACATTAAAAGTCCATAATTTATAATTTACACGCGTCTAAATATCACAATATGAAGATTCATTTAAAAATAAAAATGGAAAAACAATATTATAAGAAAAAAATAAAATACTTCTTATTTTCTCCAGATCTAAAAAGGTTTTCAAGATATCTCTTGATATCACACACCAAAAAGGAAAAATATTATATTTATTATTATTAAATTTTAAACGTTAGATTTCTATTAATTTAATTGTTATAATTTATTAAAAGTCAAAAATTAATTAATAAGTATGGTTGAATAAATTATATTCTATTAAGGTTACATAGTAAAAAAAAATAGTAAGTATAACTTTTTTCTATTTTTTTTATAAAACACATATATCCTCCACAATAAAGCCTTGACGGGTCAAAATTAATACTTTAAATTTTTTTAAGGAAAAAATGTTTGTCATTTTAAATCAAAATTAATACTTTAAATTTTTTTAAGGGAAAAATATTTGTCATTTTAAATGACATAAAGTTATGTCATTTTAAGAGAGAGTCAGACACAGAATTTTTTATTTATTTAAATATTTAATTAAAAAAACCATTCACTTTCTCTCTCTCATGATTTTTATTTTTTTATGTGTATCTTTTTTTTAAAATAATATAACTTATCTCATTTTGCAGTTTTTTTAAAGTTTATTTTTTTCTTGAATAGCGTAAGCAGTTTATTTTCTTGAAAGTCCAATAACAGTAAACCATTCCAAACAATTTGGCATAATTCGCGAATATTTTTGCTTTTCTCTGTGGGGTGAGTGCGACCCTCTGGATCCGGTACTTCAATTTCGGTTGGAGCAGCCACTTCTTCATGTGCTCATTATATTATATACACCAAAACATGGATAGATAGAGAGAGATAGGATATATAGATAGGACCATTCCATTCTTGTTTAGTTTCAGATAACCAACCAAATTTCACTGTCCATTCTTATTCTTCCTAAATCTCTCTCTGTCCAATCCCTTTGATTTCACCAAAAAGGGCACAACCATTCTTCATTCAGTTAACATAGCACAAGCTCAAGCTCAAGCTCAACCCAGTTAACTCACAAGGTTCAGTGACATCTCCGCTTGCACTACACAACGCAGCTGTTTTCATTTCGCAAAAAGATATCATTTTGACGAAAACCCATGTTTGCTTTTCTGAAAACAGCATTAAATTTGCAATCTTTAGAAATCCCATTTGGTCTGATTCTGTGTTCTATTGTTTTGTTTTGCTCAGATTTTGTGTCTCACGGTCAACATGGAGATCGATAAAGCAATTAGAGAGTGTGAGGATCGAAGACTTCAGACCAAGTACAAAAACGCCACCAATGTTATTCAGAGAGCTTTGGCTTTGTATTCGTAAGTTCTTCTTTATCTCCGAATCACTATGACTATGAGCTGGCCCATGTAATTTATGGGTTATTATCTTAAACCTTTTCATGACCTTGGTTTGAATATTATGTGTGAAGAATTAGATTCATTTGCTCGTTTTCGTTGGATAGTATAAAGCAGAAGAGGAAAATAATGTTATGTACTGCTGACTTGATTTTTGTAGTTGTTTCAATGTGGATAGATATTTGATTTTTGTCGGATCCATTTGATGAGATTCTGGGGTAATATTGAATTCCCTCCCTTGATTATTATTGTCTGAGGGACAAGCTTTTTTAAAAATGTTTTGAGTCTGTTGACTTGAACATAGTCTCACCGGAAATTCCATTGAAACAAACATGTAATGAATTACTGTCTGCACATGAAGTTCCACTTGATCTTAGTTACTTGAAAGTACTTTTAATGGTGTTATCTCAAAACTGGAAATAGCTTTTATGTTGTTAGTTTTATGTTAGTTTATGAAGAAAGGACAATATGAGCTCCGTTTGTTGTTAACTTCAACAGAATATCTATTCTAAACAACTTTACGACTCTTACTGCTTCATGGGAACACTATTTCGCATTGGGTGGCAGCAGAATGAAGGATTTAAACTTGATTGTCTTAGGGATAAGTCCATTGATCATAGAGTGATGCCCCCTAATTTTTGGTGTCTTTTTGCTACTTCATTTGCTATAAGTCATAACTGATTTAAATTATAAATGGAAAAATTTTATTATCTTTTATGACTTGCATCTTTCAAATCTGATTGTCCTTGTTAATGTAAGTTGACCGATGTCTGCATGTATTAATATATTTCTTGCTACAGTATTGAGGAGGTTGCCTTCAGTTTTAATGGTGGAAAGGATTCAACGGTAAGTTTTAATGTATGTAATCTTTTAGCGTCCATCAGAATCTTCGAGCTCATTGATGGAAAAATCGAGTTTTGGCATGTAGGTTTTGTTGCATCTACTCAGGGCAGGCTATTTCTTGCATCAAGGGGGGCATAATAGTGCCAATGGGGATCTAAAAGATTTTCCAATTCGAACAATATATTTTGAGAGTCCTTGTGCTTTCCCAGAAATCAACTCATTTACCTATGATACAGCTGCTACGTGAGTGATCCTTCTTCCTTTTTACTTTTGAATTTATTTGTAATTGTCATTGCCATGTAAATAACATGGAAAAGTGATCTTTTCCTCCCTTTTTTCTATTATTCTCGTACTTTTTCAAACTTTTAGGCTTGTTCTCCTCTGGAGGATATGGCAACTAATGATTTTTGCTTGAGCAGCTATGGTTTGCAAATTGACACCATTCGCTTAGATTTCAAGTCTGGTTTGGAGGCTTTGCTAAAGGATAAGCCAATTCGAGCTATTTTCCTTGGAGTTCGAATTGGAGACCCTACTGCGGTACCCTTATTTGTTAACCATTACATAACTTTTTTGTTTTAAAGTACATATTCTCTGACCTGCTATTCATCCAAAACTCCATGTTGTTTTATGAAAGCGAGATTTTACTCAAAAGTGCTTGAGGCTCTACTAAAACAAAATTTGGAAGCAAAACGCAAAAGTGAAGATTATTCATGCTATATATAAATATCCTTAAAAAAATTATACATACATATAACTATCATTGATACATGATCTAACGGAAAAATTAAGCTACATACTCATTACCCAATTAGTTGCTATCTAGTAAAGGTAAAATAGCTTAAACTATCACTAGAACAATACTTATTTATTATGGTATAAAGTGGTACATGTGATTATTACTTCTAAATGTTCCCTACCGTGGCATTGTCACTAATCTCATTATAGAGAGCAAATAAAATCCATTATATAATGATCATTAGACATATGTATAAGTATAATTTAAGATGTTCAATACTACAACTATGGAACAATTTCAGTATACATGAATGTCTCGACTGTCAATTTCCCAACTATAAGGAACTCAAAATCACTTTAATTTGCCCATAGAGAAAAAGGAAACTAAGCTTGGTTTCCTCAATTTTTGGTATTAATCAGAATCTAGGTGAGATATCATTCTAAGCTGTTGAGGATAGGAAAAAGTGCCCAAGAGAAAAATCATCACTTTAAGAGCATAGAATGGTTGTGAATATTGAACTTAATCAATACATTTGACAGTATACTTGTTTGGAGGTTTCCTTAACTTTTTTTAAAATATATATGTTTTGACATGTTGGGCCATATTCAATTCAATACAATATGAAAATATAAGGGTATAATTGCTAATGAAAAGCTTGATAGTACCACTTTTAATGCCTTAAGGAGTATTTTAGACTTGTTCATTCAAAAGCAATTTTGAGTACGTAAAACTGTATATTTGATTACCATGGTTTTATTAAACTGAAATATTGCCATATGCTATTTATACATGTGTGCTCCAACCTTGCAGGTTGGTCAAGAACAATTCTCCCCTAGTTCACCTGGTTGGCCACCTTTCATGAGAGTGAATCCCATTTTAGATTGGTCATACAGGTTTGGTCCTTTGTTACATGCTATTTCTTTTTACTGCTTTTTATCAAATAAAATGAACCAGTAATCATATTTGGTGCTGCTTTGTTTCTTTTTATTAGAGTATATACTTTAATACTTTTTAACTCTTATATGATTGAGAGAACACACCGACACCAATTAGCTTGGGTTAAAGGTGCTGTTGATGTTGATGTATGTATATGATTGAGAGAACAAAACAGAGAGAAAAATATCTTTCTCTTAACCACATTAGTGATTGGTGCTAACTTGTCCTGAAATCCCTTCATTTGATAATAAATTTCACACTTATTTGTTATCACGTATTTGTTACTGTTGGGTAAGATGATTAAGGTCCCTAAACATTAGTATTTGAGACAAAGATCTGTGATTATTAGTTGTGTTGTGTGAATAGTGGCACTATTAGTTACACCACCTTACACCTATTTCCAAATTTATTTACTTTTTAGCACTGTTATTCCCACTACTTATACGTCTAAACTCATCCTTTTTGAAGACAGCCATAGCAGTATTCATGGTTAACTGTTGTCCTTGATCCAAGTTCTCTTAGATTTATAATGTTTTGGCATTACAAAGACTTTCATATTTGGTTAACCTTTTAAGTGAATGGCTAGAAAAAACCATAATGCCTCAGGTAAAAGCTAAAGGGTAGCTGGTTGTCAAAAAAAAAAATGACTTTACTCTAAACGGATTGTTAAAAACTTGTTTTTTGATATAGCCAATGGCATTGTTTGATCCAATTAGTCAACCCCACCTAGTGGAATAAGGCTTGGTTGTTTTGTTTTTATAGCTTGCATTATACCTTTTTTTTTCAGTAATCAGAATTTTCGGAGAATAATTTTTTTTATTTTTTTTTATTTCTGTTCTTCAATTTTAACTTCTTATTCCCCTAAAAATCTAATAACTATTAATTGCTAATCTTAGAAATTAGCTAAATAAGTCAGGGAATTATTAGGTTTCCTTCCTCCAAGTTACATGCTAATTTGATAGTACTATCACTTGAAATCATAATTATTGATGTTGATGCTTTTGAAATATTATAATATTAATTACTTCATATATAGTTATAGTATTGACTTGCTTATATTTCTATGCAGAGACGTGTGGGCCTTCCTTTTAACTTGCAAGGTGAACTATTGCAGCCTTTATGATCAAGGGTAATACTCAATAGATATGCTGGACCTTATTGTTGGATTTAATAGTATCTGCCTGCCATATGTCCCCTTTTTGTTTAAATTTTTTGAACCAAATAAAAGACTTAACTAAATAACCCTAACCGGCTTCTTTGATGCACCATTTAATAAATGGTCCATCATTGTTCACATTAAGTTCTAGTTGTTTGTGTTTATTCAAGGAATTTTGGTGTGCAATTATTTCCTTATTATTTGTGCAGTTACACTTCAATTGGGAGCATCTATGACACTGTTCCCAACTCATTATTATCCATTAGCAATTCTTCCAATAAATTCAAACCAGCATATTTGCTTGCTGATGGAAGGCTAGAGAGGGCAGGGAGGGTTAAAAGGTTATCGTCTACTTGTGGACAACTTCCTGCAAGCAATGGCTTGGCTTGTCTGGATTTGCATAAAAACGGCATGCTCACAGCATCAATCATTGCTGTGGGAGATGAGATTCTGTAAGTACCTTGACATCACATGGATAATTGGATTGTGTGGAATATAGTCGAAACTGTATCTTATATGAACTCATAATGTTCCATTGGGTGATTTCACATATTTATTGGATTATTTACCCAGTTTTCAATTTTCACTGTATCAATATGCAATGGTTTAACCTTTGTTGAATTTCTTGATTGTATTCTGCGTGACTTGTTGCTGATTGACATAGCTAGAAGTAAGCAAACAATATCCTTTTTTTATTTTTTATTTTTAATTTTAAGTAATCTAACACCCGGGAGTATTAATATGCAATGGTTTAACCTATTGTTGAATTTCTTGACTGTTAGCTGAGTGACTTGCTGCTGAGCTTCCAGTTATATCTTGACAGAGCTTCTCAGTTATTAATCATGAACAAACAATATCCTTTTTTAATGTGAAGTAAACTATTTGGAAATTATTTCAATAATCATTTGAGGAATGAAAAGATTCTATGATAACATAAATTTTTTAATCTCCAACTTGTCAAGCTGTGCAGTGAACTGGTTAATTTTTTAAGATCCTTCAACTGTTTGGAAATTATTTCAATAATCATTTGAGGAATGAAAAGATTCTATGATAACATAAATTTTTTAATCTCCAACTTGTCAAGCTGTGCAGTGAACTGGTTAATTTTTTAAGATCCTTCAACTGCTTTGATAATGCTCTCCTTTTCTTTACCCTGTTTCATAGCTCAGGTTTGGCATTGTTGTGGATCAGTTGGGACCTTATTTGTGTGGGAAGCTGCATTCCATTGGTTGGTCTGTGCTGCAACTTTCTGTTTTACACAACAATGTGAGTAAATTTCTGCAGAAATCCTACCTGTGTGTGTATGAACTGTTCCACTTTGCAGACATCAGCACTTGAAGGTGTTACTATGAGTCTGGATATCAAACCATATGCAAAGTGTAATATAGGCGTTGTTCACCTAATAATTTTATGGTTTATGACATGTCTTTTGTACCAGATAGATTCTGTAGCCGAAGAAGTTGAGCGACAGAAATCTATAAGTGATATGGTAATTTACAAATGCTTAGAAAGTTACATGAATGACACTACTTGATGATGATATGACGGTTCAGGTTATTCATCTGGCCTGGTTTTTGTAGGTATTTATATACGGAGGTGTAGGTCCACTTCATTCAGATGTTACCATAGCAGGCATTGCAAAAGCTTTTGGTGTTCGTTTGGTGCGTTGCTTCCTTCAATTGTTATATTTTTCAATTTGAGGCTTACTATAGTTATTCCCTGCATATGCTGCATCGACCCCCACATATCTTATTGGTTCTTTAGTGTGGCATCCTTGAAAGTTGAAATTTGACTTTAGTCAAGCTTCTGCTGACTTGACTAAGGCATTCATATGAGCATACCAGCATAGCTTTCATCATTAGTTGCTTTTGATTTATCATAGTATTGCTGAAGAATTTGATGATCAGTGTACTGGTGACTGGAATTTCATGTAGGCTCCTGATGAAGAATTTGAAGAATATCTCAGGCATACTATTGGTGATCAGTGTACTGGTGACCGGAATGAGGTAATTTACTTTAGAAAAGCTAGGTTTTTTTTTCCTCTTTCAATCTTGCAATGTTTCCCCACACTCTTTGGGTGTGAGACTAATCCTCCTTTGGCATACAGAGGCAATCCCTCCCCACAAGTGCTTTTCTATTGACTTAAACTCTTGACATGTAAAGGCCCCTCAACTGCTAGTTATTTATCACTTACAAAAAAAATAAATAAAAAATCTACCTTGGTTTTTGTTTTAAATTATAATTTGTCATGTTGTGATTGAAGAAAGAACCTGGTAGATTTCAGTTTTCTAATACGAGGAGAGGGTGAGAAATATAGCATTTTTTGAATATGATTGTACTATAACTTAGGATTGTACTGAAAAATTGTTTTATTGGTAGGAACATTTGATAGTTTGACGTATGGTTTTCACACTAAAGCACACACAAATGGCAGGATCATAACTTTTTAACAAGGTCCAATCCTTAACAGTTTAACACCTCAGCCTAGAGGAAGTCCCCCAGCACTATTGACCATTTTTTTTAAATACTACTTTATTGTGTTTTTCTTTTTCTTTTTCTTTTTGGGAAGTAGTGAAACTCTTGACCTGTTGTTTATTAGAAGAACAATCTTATATGCTATATCTTGATTACAATATTTCTTCCTTTTGTGTCTGAAATAAGGCAAGGCATCAATGTGCATAGTCAGACTTAGCTTGCATTACACAATATACTTCTGTGTGATGACAGTTGTAGTATGAAATTGATTGATATTTATCCATCCTTGTCTTCCCCCTTTCAGATGGCTCAATTGCCTGAGGGCATAACTGAATTATTGCATCATGACAAGTTGTCCGTACCCTTGGTATGTCTTTCACAAGAAGTTCAATCTCACATCAAGGAGAAACTGACAAAATTTTATTTGTATTTATTGTTGTGAGCAACTCCTGTATTGTATATAATAATGAAAACAATGAAGGAATACTGGTTTTAAATTGTTTGATATAATGCGTGTTTCTTGCAGATCAAGTGCCAAAATGTAATAGTACTAAGTGCAACAAATGATCTGGAGCTGGAAAAGCAGTGGGACTGTTTGATTGAATTAACAAAATCTAGTGACCTACTAACGTTGCTGGAACCGTATGTTTCAAAGCACGTGACAACTTATCTATCAGATGTATGTGTTAACTTCCATATATCATGATATATCTGGCACGATTTTATTCCCTTTGGCTTTAAGATTATTTGATACTCTCTCTTCTTTTTTTTTTATATATTCATCTGATACAATGCCTGCCTTTGCTTAAAATTCACTTGTAATGCTTGTGCTGCAAGCTGTATCTGTGTGAAACTTCCCTTTGGTGAGACTCTCATTATGTGTTATGCATATATCCCTCTCCCCTCCCTCTTTTTCTCTCCTGTGTTTTTCTTTTTCTGTAGTTTTTGGGACTTAGAGCTACCAATTGGCCTATGCAGATGGAAGTATGAAGCATTTGATTTTGCTTGTATGTTAATAATGATCAGAAGTGCAAACTGCAAATGATGTGGCAGTAGTCAATTTTTTTTTGGATTAAAGTAAAATATTTAATAGTAGCAGTAAGATGCGGCTTATTCTGATAAGAGAATACAACATCTATATGCTGTGTTTGCCTCGTTTCTCTTTAATTTTCCTTCCACTGATCTCATATTGGGATATCTAAACTGCAGGTTGAAATTGCTCAACCTCTGTCAAAGCTTTGTCTTGAATTTCCAGACCTTTATATTGGTATAAAGTTTATGAATTGTTGTGATGTTTGCCAGTATATGAGTCATTATCCATCTTAGTTTTTTTTTAATTGTGTTTGTTCTTTGGAACATCAAGGGTGTTACCGCAAAGCCAGACATGGATCTCTTATAGTCAGTTTCAAAGGAAAGGTACAATGAAACTTCCATATTCTAGTCTTTGTTGTAAGAAAAAATGTAGGTTTCTGTGGTTGATACCAGCCTTTCTACTTTGGTGACAGGACCAAGCACGCCTTGAATCTGCTATAAAAGCTTTACACAAGAAGTTTCAACAGAATGAGAATGTAGCTTTCATGGAGATGAACTAGGATGATGTTCTACATGCCATTATGGTCCATTTCTACTGGATGCCAACAGAATCAGAATCTTTTTTGGGTGGGGATCATATCATTCTCGTATTATCTACAAATATAAGATGCATTGGGATGGATAAAGATGGACTTGGAAGAAAATCATTGGTGCTGCTGTCTTGGTAAAAGAAAGAACAATGGTGCAAAGAGGTGACTGAAGCTTCAATTCTATTGTGATACACAACACATATGCTTCAAGGGGATTGGACAACCAATTGATTATTATTGAATTATTATTAAATATTCTCAATTTGCAGCACTGGTCTACAAATAAATATACAGGCTTTTTCATTGAAAATTCCATCAGTTAAACCTTTAAATTAGCAGCTGGAATTGCATCATCAGCTTTGGCTGCTATTTACCTGACTTTGATGTTTATTCAAACATGCTTGCTCTCTCTATAGCTGGCAAGAAGCAAGACCATTTGGTGTATGAACCATTTAGCCAATTTTTTTAAGGGTTATGTTTATCTCATTTTACATGAGATAAACAATTTTCCTACACACACAAAAAAAGATTGGGTCCCATCACTCTTTTTTCTCTCTCCTCTTATCTGTGGGTCTCACTTGTAATTTTATTTCTACAACATGAGATAACTACTTTCTTACAACATAAAAAAAATATTTCTCTTTTTTTAACCACTTAATAACGGGGCATGGCTTGCTCACTGGAATAACGTGTTTATTGGGAAAGTCACACGCCTGAAGAGACTAGGGGCTAGACATTTGTTTTTTTCGAGTAAGTAATGATAAAAGTTTGGTTTTTTTTTTTTTACTATTATTTTAGATTTGCCTCGCATCAACTTACAATGTTCAGGGAAATTAATTTCTCATCGTTGTTGATTATGGTTTGTAAATCGAGTTTGTACAAAAGGTACCTTTTGATTTTTTCAACTCATTGGGGTGAGTTTACCCGCTTTGTCACGATTACCAGAAAGATTAAAATCGAGGGGAAGATTATCATTACCATTATTTTAAGTTTATCACTTTTTATTATTTGTTTGATTATTATTGGATTAATTTGAAAATAATGGTAATTAATTTTTTTCATTTTTAAATTGTTAATTTTAAGTTGATCTAACGATAATCAAATTGGTAATGAAAGTGATAAATTTAAAATAATGATAAACATAACCGTCCCTAAAATTGAAATTATTAATATAAGAAATACACTTCTTTAACCTCTAAACTCTTACGTCTGAATTTGAAAAAGAATTCTATCATATCTTTGTTATGGCAATGCAGTTCTAAATGATCTATTTTAATTGCATGATCTAGACAGATTATTTACCCAAAGATGCAGTAGTAATTTCTTTTGGTGTAAATTTGAGTAAACAATTGTGTAAACTAAGTCACACCGACCCAAAACCAAACGACTAAAGTGTGAAAAGATAAAAAGAAAACACTAAAAGATGTGGAAAAGAGAAAAATATGAAAAATAAACTGAATTAGTTCATTTTACTTTTGCCTAATTTGCTTATGAACCAAATACATATTTATAGGTTTCTAAATTAATTTTAGACTTGACTCAATTAAGCTAACCCTGAAATTAATGACAAAAATTTTGGAGAAAAATATCTGTCCTTTAAATTATGGTCATTTTAGTTAAAATTAATATTTTTTATTTAAAATTTAAATAAAAAATACTCACTTTCTCTTTTCATGATTTTCACAGTGTATTTTTTCTTTCACTTGAAAAAACATAATTCTATGTTATTTAAAGGGACAAATATCAAACCCATAAATTTTAGGTGAGTTATCTTATATCCAATCTTAAGCATTGATCCATTTAAATTTAATGGTCTACATATGTAATAAATTAGAATAATGAAAAATAAACAAAATCAAATGTTAAGCTTCCCCTTGATAATTTATATTTTACGCTATTTTTAGTTGGGATAGGATATTGTGACACTCAAGTTGTATTACACCAATGTGACACCCAGTCAATCTCACCGTTAGATCGCTTATGTTGATCCAACGGTTATATTTATTTCCATCTTTGTATGGTCATGATTTCCCAAATTTAAAGTGAAAGCATTAAATATGGGAAATCATAACCATACAAAGGTAGAAATAAATATAAAATATTAAATTTGGGAAATCATGACCAGATGGAAATAAATATAACCGTTTGATTAACATAAACGATCTAACGGTGAGATTGACTGGGTATCACATAGGTGTAACATAACTTGGGTGTCACAATATCTTATCCTTTTTTAAGTTTACCAAAAAGCATGGCCACTTGAGGAAGAAGTTTGCAAAACTAGTTATAACAAAAAAATAAATAAAAAATTAGAGTACAGTATTAAATTAAATCAGATTCCAAATTTTATTGTAGAATAATTATTTACTGTTTAAAAGATGATAAGCAATACATTATACATATGATTCCGGAAGGGAGAGCGAGAGAGATAGTGGTAGACCGGTAGGTTAGGCGTTAAGAAAAGAGACAAGAATGGAGGGAAGCATAGGCATGGGTGTGAGTAGCACTAGCAGCAACGAAGACGATAAAGCAAAGAAAGGGTTAGAAGGCACTGCCATTGATTTACCCATTAACCGTCATGCCAACTTGAAAAGCGCTTCCAGCGATGACGACTTCACTCACATTCTCGCACACATCAAATCCTCCAAAACTCCCGTATGCACCCCCTACTAATTCCATTTCCTTTCTTTCCTTATCAAAAACCAACAATCGAAAATTTCCAACAACCTCGTCCCTTCACGTTTTCATTTCACACACTTCACGCGAAACAAACTTTATTATTATTTATTTATTTTTTTATTTATTTTCTTTATTGCCTTGTATGAGATTTCTTATAGGACATATGTAATTTATTCTTCTATTACAAAATTGTTTGCAGGCTGTTATCAATTATGGCGCTTCTTGGTATGTTACGTTACTACTTCTCCCTAATTATTTGTCTATCCGAATTATTTTTAGCTCGTTTGAATTTGAATTTGAACACCAGGTGTTCGATGTTGGAACTCTTCCAATATTTGACTTCAGTGGAAATTCGGAACCCTATAGTTTCGGGAAACCATCTCCTTTTCTGGTTGAAGTTTACTTTACATGGTGTTTGGAAATCAGTTTGTTTGGATTTGGATGATGAATGGAATTGAACATATTGCCATAGCATTATAATAGTGGTCAAGAAACTCAATATAATGTGAAACACAATGGAATGATATTGTTTCATGGTTTTTCAGGTGTCGCGTTTGTAGCCAAATTCTCCCCGCATTCTGTAGGCTGAGCAATAATTTCCCAAAGCTTTCCTTTATATATGCAGATATTGATGAATGCCCGGAGACAACTCAACACATTCGATATACCCCGACCTTCCAATTTTTTCGAGATGGTGAAAGGGTAGATGAGATGTATGGTGCTGGAGAAGAAAGGCTGCATGATCGCCTGTGGTTGCACTCTTGAGGAAATGTAAGAGATAAACATTATGTTTGCAATTTCTCAATAGATGTAACATTGTCAATCATCAAAAATTCAGTGAATGTCACGATAAAACCTAATTATTGCATGTCTCCATTAGAAACTAGGGCCGTAGGAAACTGACTTTTATGAGATAAAATTTCATAATTTGACCACAAAAAAAAACATCCTAACTTTATAAAACAAGATTGTTTGGAAACAATCAATAACCGTAACAGTAAAGAAATTTAAATAAAGTGGTAAAACCAAAAAACAAGAGGTAGCTAATGCTGCATGCTCCTATTGTGCTAAAGCGTCCAACTAAGAGACATCATCTGTGCTCCCTTTTCTCATCCAAGCTGTGAAACATATCTTCAATAAGAGATGTACGCATTGAAGCTCCTTTATTTTCTTTTAACCCAAAATCTGAAAGATGGCTACGATGATAACCACCTGTAGTAGCAATGCCATGGCTGGTTAACTCAAGCTGTGGGCTTGAGTATCTTCACGGTCTCCCAAGTAAAATCAGGATCATCACGTCCAAAATGTCCATAAGCAGCAGTCTTCTGGTACCTGAAGTTGCCTCCTCTTGTGAGGTCAAGATTGATGGCAATCATTCCTGGCCTGAAGTCAAAATTCTCCTTAATTAGAGTCAAGATGTCCTTGTCTGGAATCTTTCCCGTTTTGTATGTGTCTACAAACACGGAAAGTGGCTCTGGGACTCCAATTGCATAAGAAACCTGCACAATACAACGTCTGGCAAGCCCTGAAGCTACTACGCTTTTTGCTGCCTGCCTAACAATGTATGCACCACTCCTATCGACCTTGGTTGGATCCTTGCCAGAGAAGGCACCTCCACCATGAGCACCCCAACCACCATAGGTGTCAATGATGATCTTCCGGCCAGTGAGTCCTGCATCGCCATGGGGTCCGCCAATCACAAACCGACCAGAAGGGTTGAGGTGGAAGATTGTCTTGTCATCAAGGTATTTAGCTGGGATGACAGGTTGTATCACATGCTCTTTCAAATCTTGAGCAATCTGTTCGTTTGTGACAGTTTCGTCGTGCTGAGTTGAGATGAGGACTGTGTGGACGCGGATAGGGACCATTGCTCCTTTTTCGTTCCGGTACTCAACAGTCACTTGGGTTTTACCATCAGGCCTCAGCCATGGGCATGTTTTATTCTTTCTGACTTCAGTGAGCTTGGCACCAAGTTTAGTAGCAAGGACATGAGTTAGTGGCATTAGCTCAGGTGTTTCGTCTGTAGCATAGCCAAACATGTGGCCTTGGTCACCAGCGCCAATTTCCTCGGGTTTTTTGGTCATGTGACCATGAACTCCTTGAGCAATATCAGGGCTCTGTTGCTCAATGTTGACCAGAACTTTGCAGTTGTCAGCATCAAGACCAACATCAGCTGACACGAACCCAATGCCTCTGCAAGTGTCTCGAACTATTTTCTCGTAGTTCACATTCGCCTTGGTTGTGATCTCACCAAAGACCATAACCATGTTAGTTTTTGTACAGGTCTCACAGGCCACCTTGCTCTCTGGGTCTTGCTCCAAGCATGCATCGAGGATGGCATCTGAAACCTGGTCACAAAGCTTGTCGGGGTGGCCTTCGTTTACCGATTCTGAGGTGAAGAGGAAGGTGTCCATCTCTGATATTTAAAAAAAAAATACAAAAAAGGAAAAGGAAAAAGGGGGCGGCAGGAGAAAAAATGTGTTAAATGGTGTTATGCAAAGAAGCAATGGAATCAATTAACTTGAGAACATAATGGTCAGTATTCTGTTGTATGAACCTAACAATCTTGATTTAATTCCCACATGCCTTTAACGGCCCACCTAATTAATAGATTAGAGCTGTTAAATGCAAATGAAAAAATGTTAAGATTTAGTGTAAGATTGATGGAAGAGGATCTTCCCATACATAAGATGTTGCCATCCATTATGAGATAGCTCATTGTCATGCAAGGATGATTATAATAAGAAAAAAACAAAAGGTCATGCTGACTTTTGTTGTTCAATGATTCGTATAGAGTTTTGCCTTGACCGTTTCGACCTACCTTGGCAAAAAATAATTAAAAGGAAGTGAGTTCGATCGAGGGAACTCTGACCTCACAGCACAAGTGCCTTTGGGTAGAAACTTCTGATTGCATTTTATTCCATAACTGATTCTTAAATAAACAATACCAGATAACTATGCAGAAAAATAGCAAAAAAATAACAACCTACTGCACGCACGACTACTGCACGTTCCAACTACATTCCTACTTACGTACTTTATTGGCTTAAAAATAACAAACAAAAAACCCCAATAAATCTCATTATTTGAACAAGTTAAAATATCTTCCTAACTTTTAACTTTCATTTATTTTTGGATCTAAGAGTGTGAGAAATTCGTATTTGCCAAGGCTACGTCAGTTGCATTCCAGACAAATAAATCTCAAACCACCTAGCCAAATGTTTCAATTATCTTTCCTACATAATTGACATTTTCTTTCTTTTAATAACCAAAGAAGAAGCACAAACGTCACAAATAGAGAACAAACAAGCCAATATAGATCTGCAAGTGCTGCAGCAAACAAGAGTAATATACCAGATCAATCAGAGGATAAACGAAGAACAGATCCAAATCGTCAATGGCAGTAATTTTTGCATAAATTGAATATTTAAAAAAAAAAAAAAAACTAAAAACGAAAAACAAAAAAACACATTCAATTATCATAACAAGTGCCAGATCTAAACCAAGACACAAAAGAAACAATTCTACAAGGCAGGCACTGAAGATTTGGATCCAAGATCTGCTAAAATACAAATGCTGATATAATCAATAGTAGGAAACTCAATTTTGATGAGTTACAGATTGAACTACGAGACGTGAAAGAAAAACAGATACGTACCAAGGAGGAGGAGGAAAAAGAAGAAAGAGCAATGAGAAACAAAAAACGTGAGGAAAACAAAGAGGAAGGCAAACAAAAGCGGGTGAGACTTATATATAGATATACACGCAGATAGAAAGAGAAAATAAACGAATGACTCGCTCTTTTTTTTTTTTTTTTTTTTTCTGGATATTACTCTCTTTATATATATATATATATATATATATATGGAAAAAAAGTTTCCGATGTTACTTTAGACAATTTTATCTAATGTGCATCGAAACGACGTCGTTTTGGGTTAAAAAATTAAAAAATTAGAGTGATAAAGACTTTTATAACCCTGAAATAAATTAAAATTACAAAAATACCATGATTTCCGTCCCAAAACGACGTCGTTTTGATGAACATTAGATAAAGTTATCTAAAGTAACATCAGAAAAAACAAACCCTATATATATATATATATATATATATATATATATATATATATATATATATATGGCTTTAATGTTTCTATAGTGAATGTAGATAAGTTATCTACATTCGCTCTCTCAAAACGACGTCGTTTTGAGTTAAAAAATTAAAAAGTTATAATGAAAAAGACTATTATAACCCTGAAATAAATTATAATTACAAAAATACTTTGATTTTCGCCTCAAAACGACGTCGTTTTGGGCTCACTGTAGATAAATTATTTACATTGACTGTAGAAAAAGTGAACCATATATACATATATATATATATATATATATATATATATATATGAGGTAGGATCCTTTGACACCGGTGTAAAATTTGAAATTTGACACCTCATCTGAGAGCCGTTAGATCAAAAAAGATCAACGACTCTGATTTGCAAGCATGTGACACCATTGATCTTTTTTGATCTAACGGCTCTCAGATGAGGTGTAAAAATTGAAATTTGACACCGGTGTCAAAGGATCCTATCTATATATATATATATATATATATATATGGGTGAACTGGTTTGGCTCGGCGGACAGGCCTACAGCTCGACTTACGTCAGGCCAGACCTGACCTAGTATATTTCGTAAAATAGGTCAGGTTCAAACCTTCAAAAAAGATTTTTTAATAAATAGGCCGTATGTCCACTTTTACAAGACATGGCCTATAAGCCTATAGGCTAAAATAAAATAAGTATGGCTTGAAGAAAAAATAAAAGGTATAAATTTAATCAACTAAAATTCTTTTATAATTTAATTATATTCGATTAAATTTTAATAGGAAATGACTTTATTTTATATGTAGGAGGAATCAACGTCTCAGCATGTTAGATTGTGTATATGAATATATTAAACAGTTTTTAGGAGAGGTTATACTTACTTTTTTTTCTTACTATTTTTTACTACCAAAGTTAACCTCTGATTTCCGATAATTTAACCATTATAATTTATTGGGTCATACTTATTAATTAATTATTAACTCTCAATAAATTACAATTATTAGATTTACGAAAATTAACGGTTAGGATTTGGTAGTAAAAGGTAATAAAAAAATATAATAAGTATAACCTTCCCCAAGATTTTTTGTTTCTTAATCTTATTTTTTTTTTCTATTCTTTAATCTTGTTTTTTGTTTTCTACATTTACAAATTGTTTACCAACTTACTTGGAATTGTAAATGCAGATTCTAATAAGTTGTTGTTGAGTCTGTTGACATTGAAATTGTGATTTTTGTTTTAACAACATAATTTGAGTTTTTTGTGAAGTTAATTCTTGAATTTGCTTGAAAGTTAAAATTAATAAACTAACGGGTCATGTCAAATCATTTGTTTATATATAAATAGGACAAGTCAGGTTAACAATTAGACTCCTAGTATGCTATCGGACCAGATCAAATTAAAAAATTTTAATATAGACTTGGGCTTGTCGAAACAAGACTCGCCCCAACCCAACCCAACCCAACCCAACCCACTTTCACCCTTATACATGTCATTAAATAATAAATTAGGAAGTTAAGAAATGAAATCATATCTTAGGCAATTTTCTTACATAAATGTGAATCAATCATTTGGTTCTTGAGAAATTCAGATTCACACTTCACAGTCCTATACTATTAAGGCTGAGAGCGATCTGGACCTTGATAATGTTATTCTATTGTAACTTGACACGTGTCATTACTTTCCAAGTAGTGGACTATCACTACCATATGGGCTGAAAACACATTGCTGCTGATGTAGTCTTTGGGACTCCGAGAATGTGGCAAATGACCTTCTTCGATTATGGCTGCCACATCCTGGATCTGTCACTTGTAGGGGTGTAAATGGGCCAGGGTGGCCCAGCCCAGCTTACGGCCTGGCCTACATTGAGCCCAGCCCAGGTCCGGCCTTTCAGAAAAGTAGAGTATGCTTAGGCTTATAAAAAAGCTTTTTTAATAAATAGGCCATAGGTCAATTTTGTCAAGCCCGGCCTACAGCCTTGTAGGCTGGCCTATTTAATTTATTAAAATAAAATAATATTTATTTTATGTGGCAAAGACACAAAGTACCAAATACCAATATCTCTTACTTTTTGTGCTATTTTATTTTATGAAAGGAAAACTTGTTTAATGTCTCCAAATTTTACATGCTGTTGCAGCTTAATACCATGGAGCAATGGGTACCTTGCTGGATTATGATGTTACTGATGAAGATCTTTCAATAATACTCTTCTTTCCCTTGTCTTGATGGTGGTTTAAAGATTTTTAGATGAATGACATTCTCTTGTAGACTTTATTTCAGCATCCAGTAATTGTATTTTTCTTATTTTTTCCATTTCTTTGACTCTATTCCTCTATGATATACATTCTAGAGCTGAGGTATTATGTTGACTCTTTCTTTTTTGTCATTTTTTCTTATGAGAAGTACTAGTGTATGCATGAATGGAACTTTATTTGCTCTATACAATTATTTTTTTTGGTTATTATATATAGTGAGAGGCCTACAAGGCCTGTAGGCCATGTAAGGCTTTCTTATTTTTGATAATGGGCCGGGCTTGGCCTACAAATAAAGCCTTTAATAGGCCAGATAGGCTGAATTTTTTTTTGACGTAGGCTTGGGCCAGGATGGTCAAAGCCCAGCCCAACCCATTTACACCCCTAGTCACTTGCTTTACAGCCACACGTATGTGCTTAACTAGAGAGAGTGGTTATTAATGCGGTTTATTTAACCTGTTTATAATTAAAAGTGTTATATATATATATATATATATATATATGCTTGAAAGCATTAAATGCGGGGAATCATAATCATACAAAGGATAAAAACATTAAATGTAGGAAATCATAAATATACACCTGTAATTGCTGTACGTAAAACGGCTGAATGCGGGGAATCATAATCATACAAAGGATGAAAACATTAAATGTAGGAAATCATAACCATACACATGTCGTTTGTAACAGCCCCAAACCCTGTAGCAGGATATTGTCCGCTTTGCCCCGTGCACAAGCACCGTCGAGCTCACGGTTTTACATTTTGGGTTACCCCAAGAGGCCTCCTACAAGGAAAGGTATCCACACCCTTATATAAGGCATGCTTCGTTCCCCTCTCCAACCGATGTGGGACATTACATCCTCCCCCACTGGGAATACAGCGTCCCCGCTGTACACACCGGTCCAGGGCCAGGCTCTGATACCAACTGTAACAGCCCCAAACCCTGTAGCAGGATATTGTCCGCTTTGCCCCGCGCACAAGCACCATCGAGCTCACGGTTTTACGTTTTGGGTTACCCCAAGAGGCCTCCTACAAGGAAAGGTATCCACACCCTTATATAAGGCATGCTTCGTTCCCCTCTCCAACCGATGTGGGACATTACATCGTTGTTGTACGTAAAACGGCTGCAGAAATGATTTTACTATATATATATATATATGTTTATCATTTCTCAAGTTGCTTGAGATAATTTTATCTCCGGCTACTAAATCATAATCGTACAAAGA